TCCATTAGCATTTGTGTATATGTATATGTATATGTATATGACGTTTGGGCGTGCGGTGCAAGGGCAACTTGCATATGAAAGATTTAATGTTCATGTGCAAGAGTTGAATATTTAGCAATCAGATTATCGATTCTTTAGCTAATTAGGTAGCTGAACATGTCGGCTCTCATTGGTGGGATTATGTCCTCCTTTTGCAAATACAGCTTATTTTAAGAATTCCAGCTATCACTTTTCATGATTTTATTAGCATAGTTTCTTTTGCTGGATTAGATTTTTTATTCTCCCATCTTTGTGATACCGTTTTCTTCTTTAGTAGTTTAATAAAAGTGGGAGTTTGATTCCCTTTTATTTAAAAAGAAAAGAAAATGTACAGGAGTTGAATTTGTTGTTCGTTGTGAGGTCTTGCCAGGTGTTGTAAATGGTGATGATTAGAAAATTGATAATTTTAGGGAACATGGAGGAAGAAGCAACATTATGGGATTTTTAATAAAAAATATTTGTTGATTTGCCTTCTGAACTTGCATACAACTGCAAATTTTCTTCCTTAACTTTAATTTTAGCTGATTACCTCGTTAAATTTTTTAAACTAGTTAATTTCCTCTTGAACTTTTATTTTAGCCGATTACCTCCTGAACTTTTATAAATAGCCAATTCCCCCCTTGGTATTAGATTTTAAAAACCTTCATTCAATTTTTTCATCCTTTTTGCTATCATATAGTTGTCATGTGTTGTTTCCGTGTTCAAGATGGATGGAAAATTGGATGTAAACTTTTAAAACCTAACGGAGAAATGAAATTGACTATTTATAAAAGTTCAGAGGGTAATCGGTTAAAATTAAAATTCAAGGAGGAAATTGGCTAATTATAAAAGTTCAAGAGGGTAATAGACTAAACTTAAAGTTTATGAGGAAAATTGACAGCAGCCATACAAGTTTAGAAAGCAAATCAACAAATATGCCTTTTTAATAATAATCCCATGATTAGACGGCGTAATCGGCTGCTCAGTTAGTGATGCTCATGATTAAGGACTAAATAATGCATGACATGTTTAGTGGTCTAATGGAAAAAATAAAAATATCAACATTTTATTTGGGTTTCAACAAGTCTATTGAAAAATATCGAATTAAAATTTTTCTTTTACAAAGTAACAAAAAAAAAAATAATAATAATTGGCACTAGAAAGAACTCAATTTTCAGAAGCCAGACAAGTCACCAAGTGATCAATATGCGTGGCTCACGCACAGCTCAACTTGTAGATCTTTTTGGGTTTTCATTAAGGGAGATCTTTTTACGTTGATTGGACCTCGAAGCTTATCACACCAGCACGCAACCAAACAAAAACCAAAACCATAATCAAAGTTTATTCACTAAATTAGATTCAGTTGTATGAATTATAAAACGACATTGTGCTCGATTTTGCATCAAGTTTTCTATTAGTTCCAAGTATTTTATATTTTTTCTTACAATCTCTACCCCTTTTTCCTTTAGCCCTCGTTTCACAGTCGCATCTTCTAGCCAGTATCTATAGGTCTTCAATTCATGTGTTCAAACTACCTTAATTGATTTTCTATCATTTTATCTTTAATTGCGGACATTCTTACTTTACTTCCAACATCCTCGTTCTTAATCTTATCATTTCTTAATTCTGTCTAGCACGCAACATTATGCATACAAATAATAAAGCTACCCAACAAATTTTATGAGTTCATAAATAATATTGGTAATTATTATAATTTGAGTAAAAACCTAACCTTTCTCATATTTATTTTTCCTTTCGTACTGAAGTGGGAAAACTAATCAACTAACAAAAATAAAATGAGATGATAAACGCTTTTCTTTTTCTTGGTTTTCTTGATAAGTAAGAACATATAACTACCAAGAATTCATGTTACATACTTCGGTCCATGTTATAAGAAATTAAAAAGATGTAGTTGTGAGTTGTAACTTTGCTTTATGTTTACAAAGATACTTTTACAAACAAGTTGTTAATTCATCTAACAAAAGTTACAACTAACCATAATTTAGTATCGAAATCACTACAACTATATATTATTTTCGCATATCTAAAAGTTAAACCTGAAATCTCCTCCAATCAAATGAAGACCTCTAAACCAACTAATCACGAGTTTGGGGGAATCCAACTTTCAAGACTTGGCTACAGCACATACATATATAATCAACATCTAACGATTAAGTATGTTATAATAAAAAGAATATAACATCTAACTGTGTTTATTTGTAAAATAACAAAATACATTAAATAAATACATGTATCGTAACGTACCTCTTCAATACGATGATCGAGGAAAAGCTTCGCAGTTGCTTTTAAAGATTGCCTAATCTTTTCAGCGCCTTTTAGCTTTTTTCCCCTACCACTTAAGATTGCCCTGCAATACTAGGACTAGAAAGATTGGGATATTCCACGAGAATGAATCAAACAGTACAAACAAGATTAACTCCGGCGTTCCCACGTTTTCTACCACTGCCACATTATTTCAGCTTCCACCTTAATGTCTCCATAAAGCAAATAAGGATAAAATATCAGACCTGGTTTCTCTACCCTTCCAGTTGTCATACACTCTCATCCTTTCTTATTTGTGTTGTCACGATTAAGTTACATCAACATTTTATATCACTATTACTTTTTGTCATATTATCTCTATAAAAAAAATTAATATAAAATATTGATATAACTTAACTGTGATCTTACAAATTAAGAGAGATAAGAGTTTATAAAAACTAGAAGGGCAGAGAAGCCGGATCTTAAAATATCTCCCCCAACAATCATTCAATGGTCGTTCCTACCAACAACAATAATTCAAGCCCTCCAACTGCCAGCACGATGAAAAATTATTGTATAGTACTTAATTATGATCATTTAATATAACCAGTTGAAGTGCACCGGATCTCATCAATCTCATTAAATCAAGTGATTTAAACATTTCAAATTTCAGGTAGTAGTTCATCTGTTTTGATATTTTAAAAATTATGATAATTTTTAACCATTTGATAAAATTTTTAAAATTCGGATCATTTGATGAAGAGATCCTCTTAGGATCTCTTTTCGAAGTGGCATAACATGTGAAGTCAAGGCCGGTCCTCAGAGTAGCTTCAGTATGAGCCCGATCTAGGGACCCTACTTCAGAGGCTTCCTAATTACACACCCACACACACACACACACACACACACTCACTTTTTTTTAACAATTCAAATTTAATAAAATATTAAAAAATAATATGGGCAAGAATATAATTTTTCACAATTTTTTTTAACCTTTTTTCTTTTTTCTCCCCCATATAGTGTAACTATAGTTTTATACGTATACAAAAATTACTATCCTCTTTACTCTAGTATTTTTCCCAGCTGTCAAATGCAATTCATGAAATCCAACCGTTTATTTATTTATTGAATGTAATAAGTAACATTGTAACAATAAGCAATAGAAAATTGATTGGAATTTGACGTACTGGGTAGTGACTCATCTTTCGATATTAAGTTTTAGATATTTGATGTAGACATAGACTTTTTGATGTATTTAGATAAAAAAAAAATTATACATATTAATGTACAAAGGGTCATGAGTAAGAGAACTCTAAGCCACACTTTGAAGGTTCATCTAGGACCCCCAAATTCTCAAGATCGGCTCTGTGTGAAGTGGCTATAGAATGGAGGATTTAATGTATATGGTGTTGAAATACGATTATCTAATTGAACTAATGTAAGTGCTTAAACATATAAGTTGGCTATAGAACGGTGCATTTATGCGGTAAGCTATAGGATTTGTGTATCAATAAATATACGGGGTCTTATATAACACATGAACAACTACACCACATGATTGTGCTCCACTACCCCGAAAAAGAAACCCTCTTTATCTTGCATATTTCTATCTTTTTCTTTTTCATGTGCAGTCCAAAGCATCGTACTTTAGTACAACCAAATTCCAAACAGAGCAGACACTATTTGAGAATCCGCCCCAAATATGAAACCAAAGACATGCAACAAAGGCAGTTCAAGTGGAAAATTACAATACAAGAAAAGGAAGCATGTGCATTATTGGCTCATCATAAAAGTGAATTGAAACCTCTCTCTCTCTCTCTCTCTCTCTCGTCAAGTTTCATTATCTTGTTCTTCAACATGGTGGATATGAGTTTAGAGCCCTCTCATCACTCATTCAACGCCCTTTTTATCTATACACCACTTTAGGGCTATCAACATAAAAATAAACGACAAAAAACCAGAGACGTTATTGGTACTCTAAAATAATCAACTTGCATTGATTTTGTTTTCACTTTTTACATTAAAGAGAATTGTGGTATCACTACGCTCGAGCGCCAACAACAATGCTCAACTCAAATCCAATTGTAATTGACAAGGAAGTATGTGTTTGAATCCCTCTTTAAAAAGTAAAGTAATTTAAAATATCACATTGTTGAGAAAAGAAAAAAAAACAAATGTTATATTCAAGGTAATTCATTGTATTTCATTCTACCAAATTGTTTGTTGCTTACTTTTAATTACTTACCACAAAAAAATGAATGACTCATCCCTTTTGGATGAGAATAAAACATGTGGTGCAATATAAACGACTAAAATTGCAAAGATGGCCAACCTTCCATTGACAAATTTGGATCCCCACATCCATATGATGTAAGAAATTAATAAATTAAAGGTTAAGGTTAGATAGCAGACGAAACGTAACCACATTTGTTAAGTATGATTTATCTTTGTACCGATCAAGATTTCGAATATTCTTTTTATGGTTTAGATTAAAATAAAGTATAATATCGTAGCTTCAAATAAAAGGTCAAGGTTAGATATGTCACTATCTTAACACTGCAACGAAAAAAAACAGCTCTAATTCAGATTTAAATCCTCCTCTTTTCCCACATTTTCACTGAAAACAAGAAGATACTAAACTTTTTTTTATAACATTGAAGCGTTTCGAACTCGGAACCTAACTAAGTATTTTTCCCGTTTCTTTGCTTACGCAAGTTTCTTTATTTCCTTAGTATATGAAGACTCTGCCGGGTAAGAATTCCCAAACAGAGAACCAAGTGGGACATTATTTTTTTCATCTCAATCAACTCTCTGAATTTTATTTAAAAATATCCAAGTGAGCAGTGATATTCATTTCATTCTTTCATTCCAGAGAGTAGAGAGTTTCGTTTTTTCTTCTTCTGTGTCATACGAGCTAGCCCATCTCTGTTTGGAAATGGCGGGCGGTTCTTTCGCACCGGCCGGCGTGGCCAAGGAGAGAGCAGAGCAGTACCAAGGCAGGCTAACCCTTTATGTCGTCGTTGCCTGCATAGTTGCCGCCGTTGGCGGCTCGCTTTTCGGTTATGATATCGGAATTTCAGGTAACTTTGCACATTTTTGTTGGCTGGCACTTTGGTGTTGGATTTTTTTTCAGGCTTTGATGAGGTAATCTACCAAACTAAATCTCCGTATGAAAAGGGAATGGTGTCATGAAAGCAAAGTTACTGGTGTAAAGTTCAGCTTTATTAGATGCTATCATAAATTCTGCAAAAATCTTGATTGCAACAGCCAACAGGTGTTTCAAGAATTCTTGATTCTCTCTCCTCACATGTGAGGAGAGAGAGAGAGGCACAAGTGGCGGATATACAATTTGTTGCACTTGAGTTTCTCTTCTAAAAAACTTACCTACATCGGAACGACACTCCGGTGATATTGTTAGTCAATTACACTTGTTTTGAGGTTTTAATTTTTTCACCTAGCAATGTATGATTGATTTGGAATACTGCAACTGTGACTACAGGGAATTCTTCTCCTATATTCTTTGGTTGAGAAGAGAGAGATACAAGTTAGAACATGCAAAAAGTGAGGTAATGGAATCACAGCAGGAAAATGATGAACAACTTAATCACCATTTGAAACTAGTAAAAATCAGAAAACAAATTGAATGATTTGAGAGCCTGTTTTGCATTAGAGAAAGGGTTGAAATTTTTCCTACAAACATCTAGTTACAAATTTTCCTGATTTCTTGCTACAGTTTGTTCTAATATAATTTAATCCACTCGGGAACTTCGAGTTTAGAATGCGTGGGTAGAAACTCCGACATCCTATTCACTCGGGTTCGAAAGTATTGATTGTTTTATACACAATTGAGTGGTCTTTTCTTAACAATTTCAGCACAGAAGATTTAGACCCTTAATCTGTCTCGTTTTCAGTATATAATCCAGCTTCTAAATGTTGGTTTAACTGTAATTAGGCGGGGTTACGTCGATGGATGGATTTCTTAAGAAATTCTTCAAGACAGTGTACAAGAACAAAACGCATGCCCGGGAAAACAACTACTGCAAGTATGATAACCAGGGTCTTGCAGCGTTTACCTCTTCGCTGTACCTTGCCGGTTTAGTTGCATCTTTAGTGGCTTCTCCGGTCACAAGAAATTATGGACGCCGAGGAAGTATAATCTGTGGCGGAATCAGTTTCCTCGTTGGAGCAACTCTAAACGCTTTAGCGGCGAATTTGGCCATGCTTATCTTAGGTCGGATCATGCTTGGTGTTGGTATCGGATTTGGAAATCAGGTAACTAATTCACAGAAGAAGCAATGACTTATTTCTGGCAAGAAAATGTTCAAATAAAACTGATTTCTTCAAACTCCTTGTTTGTCTTGAAGGCTATTCCGCTATACCTATCAGAAATGGCGCCAACGCATCTTCGAGGAGCCTTAAACATGATGTTTCAGTTAGCAACTACGCTTGGGATCTTCACGGCAAACATGGTGAACTACGGAACTCAAAAGCTCGAACCATGGGGGTGGAGGCTCTCGCTAGGGCTGGCTCTCGTACCGGCTGCAGTAATGACAGTTGGAGGGATACTTCTGCCCGAGACACCAAATAGCTTGATTGAACGAGGATGTAAAGACGAAGGAAGAAAAGTTTTGGAGAGAATCAGGGGAACCAAAAACGTCAGCGCAGAGTTCCAGGACATGTTGGATGCAAGTGAGTTTGCCAGTGCAATAAAGCACCCGTTCAGAAACATACTCGAGCGAAGGAACAGGCCTCAGCTTGTCATGGCAATCTTCATGCCGACATTCCAGATCCTCACGGGGATAAATTCGATTCTGTTCTACGCTCCCGTGTTGTTTCAAAGTATGGGGTTCGGGGGAGATGCTGCTTTGTACTCATCTGCTTTAACCGGAGCGGTTCTTGTTACGTCTACACTGCTGTCTATCGCAGCAGTTGACAAGCTGGGACGAAGAGTTCTGCTCATTACTGGTGGAATACAAATGATTGTATGCCAGGTAAACCTCATTAGAATGCAATTAGAAACAACTAATGGAATCCATAAAATGCTTTCTAAACGCTTAATACTCTCCCCTCGAATGCAAAACAGGTCATAGTCGCAGTAATCTTGGGGATCAAGTTAGGGGACAATCAAGAACTATCTAAAGGATTCTCAGTACTGGTGGTGGCGGTGATTTGCCTTTTCGTGATAGCATTCGGATATTCATGGGGTCCCCTCGGCTGGACAGTGCCAAGCGAGATATTCCCGCTGGAAACTCGATCAGCTGGACAAAGCATTACGGTGTCGGTGAACCTTCTGTTCACTTTCATCGTCGCGCAGTCGTTTCTCTCCCTCCTGTGCGCGCTCAAATTCGGGATCTTTCTCTTCTTTGCGGGATGGATTACTATCATGACCGTTTTCGTTTACCTGTTCCTGCCCGAAACCAAGGGAATTCCGATCGAAGAGATGATACTGATGTGGAGAAAGCACTGGTTCTGGAAGAGGATAATGCCTGAAGAATACCCTGAAGCTGATGACTCTGTTAGTGTTAGGCAAAACAATTCAACAGTTTAACATGTATTAAAGAAGAGTCTAGTGGATGTCGATAAAGCAGATGACCTTTACAATTCAGTTAAAAATGCATTGAACAGAGTAGCCAACTGGCCTATTTTCCATAAATCAATCTCTGTTATCCAAACACATCTTTTATCATTTTGAGCACATTTTTGTTTATTTTTGTTCGTTGATTTTTCTTTAATTTCTTCAATTAAGCAATTAGAAATGTAGATATGTAAGGAGAGAAGATGGGTGTGTAAAAATCATTTTCATTTAAAAAAACAACCAACCATGATAAAATTGAATAAATAATATGCACAAGCAAAAAGAAAAAAAAAACACTCAATAAAGCAAGTAAACACAAATAAATAGCATAAATCAATTAGAATGGAAAACTCCAAATTAGAATAAAATTAGGTCGATTATGCTTTATTTCGAATGCACGTGGCAAAATATATAAGTGAATATTGTATTTCATTAGAGTGGATTATTAGGTGAGGTTTACACGACCCGTTAACACGACACGTAAACGACACGAAAATAACGGGTTTCGGGTCAACACGATAACTAATCGGGTCATTATCGGGTCACACGATAATAACCCATTAATAACGGGTCCTCAACAGGTTTACACGAAAGTGACACGGGTAACCTGTTTCGACACGATAAGAAAAATACTATTTTGATGATTTTAATTTTTTAAACTACTAAAAAAAACTTACTATAAAATGCAATAGATATAATGAATATGTATATATTGTTTATTAATTATTATTCTATTATTATTCTATATAAATTTTAAAATTTAAGTTTTATTTATTTATTTATTTTTATAGTATATTATAGGCAAGGATTGAGATTAAAAATCATAAAACACATTAAAAAAAATATCAAGTAATTTAAAAATACCAAAAACATAAAAAAATTATAATAATTAATTTCCCGCCTAATATTTCAAGAGTTTCATCCATTTCCCACCTAATGTTTGGGAAATTTTGCAACCTATATCCATCCATTTCCCGCCTAATGTTTAACCCAAAGAAAAAAAAATAACCAGCTTTTTTTTTCTTTTTTTTATCTCTTATAACATTTTAACTTGAATAAAAATAAAATACGTAATAAAAAACATAAATGTAATTTTATTATTAAATATCATCACAGACTAATTGAAACATAGTCTAATTAACACTTAAAATATATAAATAATTAATATATTTATTCCAAGTCATCAAAACGATAAGATTCACTAACGCTTAAAGTTTATTTATACTTTCATTAAGTATAACATCAATGCATATCCCATCAAAATGATGAAAGTATGAATAAACTCTTAAGTGTTAGTGAATTTATCGTTTTGACGGGATATGTATCCTACAAAACTAATTTCAACAATCCAACCGTCAAACTTGTTTATACATGCTTCGAGATCGCATACTCCAAAAATTGCAAAAAACAAACATTCAGAGATGAAGTAATGAGACAAAAATTTTCAATGGTTATAAACGAAAAATCACGATTTAACGGTTATTTTAACTCTGATTTTGATGATTTTGTACAGCTACACTCCTTGATCTTATATGAATACAATGAATGAATTCGATCTTCAATTTAAAATATTTACACTAGTGGATACCACAAATCTTATGTTATACTTAATGAAAGTATAAATAAGCTCTTAAGTATTAGTTAATGTATCATTTTGATAGGATACGCATCCTATGAAACTAATTTCAATGATCCAACCGTCAAACTTGTTTATACATGTTTCGAGATCGCATACACCAAAAATTGCAAAAAACAAACATTTAGAGATCAAGTAACGAGACAAAACTTTTCGACGGTTATAAATGAAAAATCACGATTTAACGGTTATTTTAACTTTGATTTTGATGATTTTTTACAGCTACACTCCTTGATCTTATATAAATACAATGAATAAATTCAATCTTCAATTTAAAATATTTACACTAGTGGATACCACAAAATCTTATGTTATACTTGATGAAAGTATAAATAAACTCTTAAGTGTTAGTGAATCTATCGTTTTGATGGGATACGCATCTTAGAAACTAATTTCAACAATCCAACCGTCAAACTTGTTTATATATGCTTCAAGATCGCATACGCCAAAAATTGCAAAAAACAAACATTCAGAGATCAAGTAATAAGACAAAACTTTTCGACGGTTATAAACAAAAAATCACGATTTAACGGTTGTTTTAACTCCGATTTTGATGATTTTTTACAGCTACACTCCTTGAGCCTAAACAAATACAATGAATGAATTCAATCTTCTATTTAAAATATTTACACTAGTGGATACCACAAAATCTTATGTTATACTTGATGAAAGTATAAATAAACTCTTAAGTGTTAGTGAATCTATCGTTTTGATGTGATACGCATCCTACGAAACTAATTTCAACGATCCAACCGTCAAACTTGTTTATATATGCTTCGAGATCGCATACGCCAAAAATTGCAAAAAAACAAACATTCAAAGATCAAGTAATGAGACAAAACTTTTCGACGGTTATAAACGAAAAATCACGATTTAACGGTTATTTTAACTCAGATTTTGATGATTTTTTACAGCTACACTCATTGACCCTAAATGAATACAATGAATGAATTCGATCTTCAATTTAAAATATTTACACTAGTGGATACCACAAAATCTTATGTTATACTTGATGAAAGTATAAATAAACTCTTAAGTGTTAGTGAATCTATCGTTTTGACGGGATACGCATCCTACGAAACTAATTTCAACGATCCAACCATCAAACTTGTTTATATATGCTTCAAGATCGCATACGCCAAAAATTGCAAAAAAAAAAACATTCAGAGATCAAGTAATGAGACAAAACTTTTCGACGGTTATACATGAAAAATCACGATTTAACGGTTATTTTAACTCTGATTTTGATGATTTTTTACAGATACACTCCTTGACCCTAAACAAATACAATGAATGAATTCGATCTTTACACTAGTGGATACCACAAAATCTTATGTTATACTTGATGAAAGTATAAATAAACTCTTAAGTGTTAGTGAATTTATCGTTTTGATGTGATTCGCATCCTAGGAAACTAATTTCAACGATCCAACCGTCAAATTTGTTTATATATGCTTCGAGATCACATACGCCAAAAATTGCAAAAAACAAACATTCAGAGATCAAGTAATGAGACAAAACTTTTCGATGGTTATAAACAAAAAATCACGATTTAACGGTTATTGTAACTCCGATTTTGATGATTTTTTACAGCTACACTCCTTGACCCTAAATGAATAAAATGAATGAATTCGATCTTCAATTTAAAATATTTACATTAGTGGATACCACAAAATCTTATGTTATACTTGATGAAAGTATAAATAAACTCTTTAGTGTTAGTGAATCTATCGTTTTGATGGGATACGCATCCTACGAAACTAATTTCAACGATCCAACCGTCAAACTTGTTTATATATGTTTCGAGATCGCATACGCCAAAAATTGCAAAAAAACAAACATTCAAAGATCAAGTAATAAGACAAAACTTTTCGACGGTTATAAACGAAAAATTATGATTTAACGATTATTTTAACTCCGATTTTGATGATTTTTTACAGCTACACTCATTGACCCTATATGAATACAATGAATGAATTTGATATTCAATTTAAAATATTTACACTAGTGGATACCATAAAATCTTATGTTATACTTGATGAAAGTATAAATAAGTGTAGATTTTTAAAACCCTCCAAATCTCATGAACAATGTTATTTATCTGAGTGAAAAATTAATAATAATAAGTGTGAAAAATGTAATCACTCGTAATGAAAAGCTTTACAACTTTCATTAAGGGGTCAACTCCGAAATTTAGTATGTATATACTAATTTAATATTATGGTTTACATTTTTTTGGGTCAAATTATGTTTTTCTTTTCATTTTTATTGATTTAAAATATAATTTTCTTAACGGGTAACGGGTCGGGTCATATTACCTGATAATATTAACGGGTTGATTTCGGGTCAGGTCATATTACCCGTTTACTTTAACAGGTATTACACGATACGACCCGTTAAGCTATTGGGTATGACACGAAAATGACACGAACACGAGAAACACGACACGAATGCCAGGTCTAGGTTTTAGTTTGGAAGTCAATATTACATGTACCTTTCTTGGCATCCCTCATCACTGGTCAATCTGGAGAACTGACTACTCATATGTCAGTTGCGAGTTTTGAGTAACCAAAAATCCGCCCACTACCGACGGATAGTTAGTGCAGCCCAATTGATACGCGCAAAACATGTGGACAACCAGTTACTCACATACTACGGAACGTAAAATACCCGTTCAATATGTCTATAAAAGCAATCTACATGGAACAAGTTCACCGCCATGTAACATTACAGTCCAAAAATATATTACATATGCACTGGCTAATGCAGGATTTGAACTTGGGATCCCGATGTTAAAGGTCCAAATTTTTTATTGTGCAAAGTACGCAAATAAATTTCAGTTTATTCACAGAGCTATTTCATCGAACACTTACTGAACTTCTTGTCCGCTGAACAATGTTGCGAATATATTGACATTAGCCGAAGCAATTTGATGAGTGCTATCAAGAGCATTTGTGGTTAGGTTATCACAACTTGTCGAGTGTTAATATATCTAATAAGCATTACATCACATTTAGTAGGCGTAAAACCAAATATAGAAGGTCCCAGAGAACTTCACGTGCTTGTTTCCCTGCGTCCAGATGGTTCTAGGACAACTTTGGTTCGAATGTACATCCGCTCTTGACAACATGGAGAAAAACTTAAACATAACAATGTATTAATGGACAAGAGATGTCATAACCTATTTCGTGCAAGTCTTTTTCCAAATACCAGGCGGAGAAGCAGCTACTCACATATCGATTTGCCCAATACAATGCAAACGAACAACCGGATGTAAATGTGAGGAGCCGGTCGATCCTCCCCACAGAGGACCGGAAATGAGTAACAAATTCTAACAGGAATATAACAAAGTGATTAGCAACAGATTAAGCACAACATTTTATTTCTTGATGATTACTACATCATCGTATAATAGTGAACAGTGAATACAACTTTTAGACAGAGACGGGCTTATACGCTTATCTCCCTAAGCTTCTTTCTTCCAACCTCGTAAACATTTCTTGCATACCAAGTAAAATATAGAAGGCGCCAAACACCCAAACTTTCCTACTAATCTTCTTCCTTCGACTTGCAGAAACCCTAGCGACATAAGCTCTAATCATATCGTCATTTGCTCGCACTCAATCGACTTTCCTCTTGAAAAAATAAAGGAAGCAAATTGGACTAAACGAACAACCATTACCAACTAATCGAATCAACCTTCAACCGTTTCGGAATTTAAGATTCATTCAACTTTCGATCAAACGATTCAATCACTGCTGCCAAATCGCAAAGCCGGAACTTTTCTTGCCTCGATTCTTCGGAACGCCTGGCGCTCACACCAAATCGAGTCGCAGCAGCCGGCGGAGATCACTGGTGGCGGTGCCGTTCCTTCCCAAAAAACTAGGCAGTGGCACCGAGCTTGGAGGCGGAGACGCGTAGAAAGCGCTCGATCCGGCGTAAATCCCATCCATAACTTTGAACTCCGCAGCCTTAATCTGCTTCTGCACGGTCTCCGGGTCGGGTCCCAAACGGTCCGTGGATCCCAAAACCAAATCCGGATCATTTTCCTTCTTCGCCTTCGGCTTGCGATCATCGTGAGCAACAACTCCGAGACCTCGGTTGTTCTTCTCCGGGTTCAAATCCTCGCCGCGTCTCAGGATCTTGACCTGTCCAATCACCAGGTTTTTCCCCGGCGCCTTCGCAACCGCGGCCCGATCAGAGCACCGATCGCGAGGTCGTTCGTGCTGATTGGACTGAAGCCCCATCGGACTCCTCTTCCGGCGGCGAGATTGATGAATATTGGCGGTGGAGCCATGGTTGGGGGTGGAATTAGGGTTGGGTTAGAGAAATTAGAGCTCCTTCGTGATCCGGAGCGGGGGGAGAGGGTTAGGGTTAGGGCTTCGTGGCGGAAGCGACCTCGGAGGCAATCCTGCGATCGGAGAATCGCCGTCCTCATTTTTTTCCCTCGGAAGAAGAAAGAGAAGAAAAAAATTAAAATTTGCGAAAACAAAAGAAAATTCGATTAAATTTCTAATTTTCTGAAAATTTTGTTGTCTGAGAAGAAATGCTATATTTTGCAAAGCATGCGTGAGCGTGTATTTATAGAGAGGTTCCGGTTACTCACGTGACGTCGCGTGAGGTTTCGAACCGTCTGAGGCGCGTGGGGGTGGGGTTAAGATTTTGACCGACTTGGTATTGCAGTTCCATCCGCGGTTGAATTACGGTATTGCCTTGGTTTTTCACATATTTACGAAGTCAACCTTGGTCTTTGCTGGCGCTGGTACGCTGGTAATTTTGGGGTAAGAGAGGAGTAATGATGTGTGGCTCGACGCTTTAATTGCCGTGAAGCGGACTGAAAACCACGTGTCAAAAAATGAATGGGTGGAGTGGTTGGTCTTATCGACACGTATTGACCGGGGCGACTGAGTTTCCGTCTGGGCGGTTTTACACTGAACCGCCTTTTCGTGGAAGCTATGGCCTGGAAACAGATTCTTTCCTATCTTTTCCCCCTAATTATTCTTATCAAACAATTTAAATCATTGAAATCTAATTCAACAGTTAAAGTTATTACAAATTTTAAAATGAGCCCATATTTTTATTTCTTGGATCAAATTTTAAGGATCTGAATTGTTTGATAAGGATGATTAGATGAAGAGATTTGAAGATAATCTCTTTCCACGGCCTACGGAACACAGGGGACAGTGGATCCGGACTCCGGTGAGTGGGTTTTGGGTCTGTATGAGCTAGCCAGATTATTGACCCATCAATAAATTGGACTGGATCTGCAAGTGGCCGCTTCTAAACGCAGCGTTTCAGAGAACCCTTTTAAGTTGTGGGTTACGTGGCATACTTCCATTCCTCAAGTTCCTATTGATTGACGGCCCAGATTTAGTGCTAAAAAACAATGATCTTGTCCCCTTTTCTTCAGCCTCCATCGCCGTGTCTCCTCCGTCTGGTTTCTCTCTAATCTTCGCACTCCCCTAAAATAAAGTCGAAGGTACTGCGCAGCTCCCTCAAATCTTTCTAATTTCTCCTTCGATTTCAATCTTGATTGCAGTCGTTGGAGTTGTTAGATTTCGATTGATGGGTTCTATTTTTTTAATTTTTTTTACTAATTTCATGGTTTTCTTCGTGTAAATTCGTGATAATCTACTTCTTGTTATCTCGCTGCATCTGGGTCGGTCCAGATTGATGAACAAATTTGAAATTTCATTGTTTTTAGTGTTTACAGGAGAAAGAAAATCCCGAAGAAATGCCGCTGTACGATTGTATGCTGCTGCTGAAACCACATGTGAGGAAGGAGTCTCTGATGGACTTGGTCGCTCGAGTGAGCAAACACGTTTACAGAAGAAATGGAGTTATTACTGACATGAAATCATTCGGCACTGTTCAGCTGGGTTATGGTATTAAAAAGCTTGATGGAAGGTATTATCAGGTGGGTTTTTGGTGTTTCTGCAACCTTACAGTGCATTTGAGTTATTACAGGTTGTAGTATTCGTCGTCGTTGCCTTTGAATTGTTTTATTTCTGCAATGAGAGCGTGTTGTTTGGTAACTTGTTGCGTTTGCGGATGTTTCCTAGTTGAACTTGTTAATGCCACATTTTCGATAAGTTTAGGGCCAACGTGATGCTGCAGTTTCCCATTTTCTTTGTTGATACGTAATGAAAAAGTGTGTGAAATTTCCTTAAGCTTTTTTTTTTTTTTTTTTTCTTAATATTATTATGGAGGTTCAAGAAATGACAATTAGTGGCCAAAGCAGGGAGATTTTAATAGGCTCGAACTAGGATTTTGAATTCGGTTAAAGAAAATGCAGCTCTATCTGTTTATCTTAAGAACTTGAGTTAGTGGATTTGGAATTTAAGGTTGGAACTTCTTGGGGATGGCAGTAGCTTGCCTCAGAATTCTCAGGATGCTTACTTTGAACTATCATAGGTTGTAGATTACGTTACACCCTCAGTAAGGGACGATGTGGACTATGCTAGTAAGATTGTAACGATATCTGAATATGGGTAATGATATCTGAATTTGGATTTCTTTCCTATCTTTAGCAAAACGGATGATTTTCTGTCCAAGCCCTGAACTTGGAAAAAATGACAACAACAGAAAAAAGATTGTCATACTAACACAGTGTTAGAGTGCAACGGTATCTTTACTATTTGATAGTTCTTTAGACGTTTTATCATCCAAATAGCGACAATTCTCACTGTCTTAGCACTCTTTAACATCTCCATAAGAGAGTGATATCCCTAAATTGATTTTTAAAATGCCTTCCTCCTATATGTCATCCTTGAAGGTTTTGGAGCATCTGTCGGAGATGCTCATGCCTTGTCAGAGATATCCCTAATTTTCATTTGTCTTACTTTCCAGAATAAAGATTGGGATAAGAATTTAAAGAATCCAGTCACAAACACAAAGGAAAGGATTTTTTTTTTTTTTTATACCTATTGTTGGCTTGTGGATCATCGTATGGATCTGAGATTCAAATTATTGTACAGTTTATTAGAATTTCAACGAAGAGTTGCCTTTTATCTTTAAGGATGAGGGTGATCTCCTGTGGTTGGTTATTGGGTTTCCAGGAACTTTTTCTTCTTGGGCGAAATTGGAGATTCCACCTGATTTATTCTTGGAATATTCTAAAACTTTGAGAGTTTTTGACCGTCTTCTTCGTTGGTTTTTCTGACTGAATTCAAATACATTATCTTCTGATGTTGACCGGTTATGATTTTAATTATAACTCAAAGTTTCCATATGGTATAGGGTCAACTAATGCAAATGACGATGATGTCTACACCCAACATCAACAAGGAGCTGCACTACTTGAACAAGGAAGATCGGTTGCTGCGCTGGCTGTTGGTTAAACACCGAGAAACAAAGTATGGACAGGAATTTCTTAGTGAAGAGGATTCGAAAACTGAATTTAATAAGCTTCAGCGGAGCAGCATATATGGTATGGATGAAGATGAGGACGAGGACGAGGATGATGATGACGATGACGAGGAATACGATGCGGAACAAGAAGGAAAACGTACCTGAAGGGCAGTGGAATATGTCAGGCATAGGTCTGTTAGTATTTTGTTGGAGTTCCTTGATTTACGATTGCCATAAGGTATGTTAGCAGTAAGCCCTATCTGGTTAACTTAGCTTGTCAATGTACTAGATGTAGCGAGCTTTTAGTTTTGATCGGGGTGCTTGCTGCACCTAATTTTTTTTATATTCTCTCAATTGAAAACATCTTGAAGATCTTCTGAGAGGTAGAAGGAACAATGTAGTAGTATAATTTTCGTTGTTTCTTTCGATTACATATGTGTTTGGTTTATGTAGAGTTGTTGTAGGAGGAATAGTTGGTTTTCTTGAACTAGAAGGAACCGCGCTCGGAACTTCCTTCTTCGATTCCAACCCTGTCGTCGGGTGGAGAGAGCTGCCTAATGACTATAAAACTGCTAGGCAAAAAGGGGTATGGCTTGTTCTCAATATTAAACTAACGTGCCTTGCATTAGCCAAACGAGGAAGGAAACATGCCATGCATTGAAAAACATTCAAAACGGTATCGTTTACATTTTACACGGGGAATGTCTTTTTGAATTTAAAAAGGGCACGGCGCATTGAGAAAATCTTATTTCTATTCCTTTTTTGTTTTAGTTGTGATCTTATTTGTGGACATGGTTGATGGTTGTAAGTTGTACCATCGTCACTTACAGCTTAGAAATTAGGCTTTAGGATTGATTAAAGTTTAGATTTTAAGTTATCAAATTTTGATCAGCAAGCGTTAGATTGTCCTGCTGTTAGGATCTTCCTTTGTAACTTATTGCATTCTGAATTTAAGGAATCTTACGACTAATCGAAACTTTAAAAGTTCAATTTATATTGTAATAATATATCTGGTTTGTTTATAGGATCAAAATTTATTTGATTCTAATTTTTCATTAGTAAGTATATTTAACAAAAAAGGGTTTATGCATGTCACATGCACTCGATTCCATCAGGGAATTTTGGCACATGACACAACCATTTAAAACAAGAAATTAGCTACAAAATAAAAGGAACCTTTATGTGATGGTTGAAAGTCACTTATCAATCGTCCTTTGCAAAGGCCTTAGTTTAGCAACATAACTCTCGGAAATTGACGGCGACAGACGGACTAGAGAACGTCAAAATCAAAGCTTGCAGTAATCCCGTAGGGGTGGGCAAACAAACCGAAAAACCAACCAAACCAAATCGTTTGTGTTAGTGTTTTTTTTTTTTTTTTTTTTTTTAAATTCAGTTTAGTTCGATTGTGGTTCAAAATTTAGGCAAACCGCTTCATGATTTTGTATACAAATTTATTTTAAATTTTGACTCCCAAACCTTGCCTTGTATTTTATATTAAAAGATAAGAAGAAATAAAATAAATTATATCGAAAAAAATTATTGAAAGAAATGAGGTGGATGAAACTGACAAACTGCTCCAAATGCGGATTACAAATAAAGTATTTTAAAATTAAAAACAAATAAAATAATGGTACCTCATAAAAATGGAATTAGATTTCGTGGAGGTAGCAAGTCCGCGTGCTGCAAATTCTCATGCTGATGCAACCTGAACCAGAGCGGGACCCACAGAACCAACAACGCCAACGGTAATATTTAATTTTAGAACAAGGAGGACGATGGAAAGAAAATGTCACACCGAATCTCCCGCGGGCCAGTGGCTAATTTGTAAGCAAAAATTAAGCACAAAAAAAAAAAATAGAAATTTAAAGATAGCAAATACAGAATTGCAGAAATCAGCGGGAGTGCGTGATCGAATTGATCATCGGTTCATCACCTCCCCTCCCTCTCTCTCTCCTCCATGATATCTCTCTCCCTCCTCTGCCTCCTCTCCCGGTCGTTTCCGAGAGAGAACGATCCCACGCAGCTAGCTCCCAATCAGAGAAGCTAGCTGAGCTATAATTCCCCCACCCTTCCCTCCTACCTGGCTTTTGACGATGGATGCAAGGCCGTCTCCGCTGTCGTTGAAGAAGGTGGGGAGCGGACGGTCCGAGGTCAGCACGGTGAGCGGATTGCTCGGACTCGGAGGCGGAGAAGATCAGAGAAGCTCGTTGCCGTCGCCGTCATCGTCGGCGTCGTCGTCGATGTTTGAGTATTTCGGATGGGTGTATCATTTGGGCGTGAACTCTATCGGCCACGAGTACTGCCACCTCCGGTTTCTCTTCATCCGCGGCAAGTACGTCGAGATGTACAAGCGAGACCCCCACGAGAACCCCGGCATTGTGAGCGCCTCTCCTCCTCCCTCCTCCCTATTCAATTCCTAATTATTCTACTAAATTGCAAATTACAAATGTTTTTTTCTTCAATTTATTAATTTTACGTTCAATTTCTATCTGTTTTGGAGCAGAAACCGATTCGGAGAGGCGTTGTGGGCCCCACACTCATGCTGGAGGAGGTCGGGCGTCGGAAGGTCTACTATGGCGTAAGTCCTCCTCTGTATAATGTTTTAAGTGATTGGATGCAATGTCATTGTTTGATAATTATCTTATAGCATTTCAAGTTTCAGGTGATTGTTGCTGTGGATGCTGAATCGTTGCTGTTGTTGTCATGTATCTGATATTTCTCTTTTTTCCAGGACGTTTATGTTCTTCGTTTTTTCAATCGTTTGGAGGAATCGAAAAAGGGGGAAGTAAGTTTTGGTGCCGTATTCATTATTCGATTCTGCAGCTAAATGCTAGAACATGTGAATGTGCTTGTTTTAAATTTTCACATATCCCTGCTTTTATGTGTGTGTATTCTCCTACCATTGGATCCCGAATTCATCTGATTTTGCCTCATCCGCAATCTCTGTATTTTCAAGTTTTGATATTTCTCTGTTCTTCCTTCTTACTTTCATGAATTTTCATATATTGAATTGATGATCTTGGCAAGTTTTTGGTAGTTTAGAAACCGTTTCTCATACCGTGTGGTATCTGTACAGTCAATTTTGAATCAAGTCTCCTTATATATCACATTTGGGTTTCCTTTCTCTTATTTTAATCAGATGACTGACGGTTAACTGGTCTTTTGTAGATTGCTTGTGCTACCGCTGGAGAAGCCCAAAAATGGCTGGAGGCCTTTGATCAAGCCAAGCAACAGGTACATGAATTTTCTCACCAAAAATGTCCATAGAAAACAGTTAAAGGGCAGAACTTTTCCTTGTAGAGAGTGTTCTTACCTTGCAAATTGAATATTTTGGTAGTCCTTGTGACATAGAGCCAATACTTTTTTGTCCAAACTTTTGAAACTGTAAATTGGAGAGATTCAGAATTGCATATTTCATCCAGTCCATTGTTGTTTTTAACCCTGGAACTCCGCTTCTCACAGGCTGAGTTTGAGCTGTCAAGAGGAGGTAGTGCCAGAAACAAGCTGAATATGGAGACTGAGTACGCTTATATTTCCTAGATACACTTGCATAAGTACTTGATATAAGTTTGATTCTGTTCACTGTGCATATCATATTTTCTATAAATGATATTATTTTTATGTTAATGTTGACTCAAAACTTTTATAATGTGGAAGGCTCAATCTCGATGTCCATCGACCTAGAGTAAGGCGCTATGCAAGTGGATTGAAAAAGCTTATAAGGATTGGGCAAGGTAAGGCGGAATGTGAATGCTTCTTTTAAATGTTTACAATGGGACTACTTGGTTCAGTGTCCCAAACATGAGTCATTGGTCACATTTTCAGTTGACAATTATCGAAATCTATCTTCCCATTACAGGACCAGAGACGCTTTTGTGCCAATCCTCAAGCTTGGGTGCAAATGGTAGCACGGATGGATACTTTGAGAGGGATATTGGTGATGCAATTGAGGCATATAAGTGGAAATGTGTGCGAACAATTAATGGTATTCTTCTCATAGCCTTTTATTACCTACTTGATAGTTCATAGACGTCAGCGGACAAAGAATTTTTACCTCTCTTACTAAATCCTTAAGACCACACTTTGGTCATTTTCAATCAGCTATGCAATCTTTAACTTTATTTTCTTCATACATTCTCTCTTTTGGTTTCAGGTGTTAGAATATTTGAAGACGTTGCTAACTCTGAGGTATGCTATCTAATTGTAGATTAATACATGCATTTGTGTGTCTGTGTCTGTGTCTGCATGTAAGATAATGTATCTTTATTTCCACTTTTGGCAGAGTGGTAAAGGTGTTATTGTCAAGGCTGTTGCTGTTATCGATGCAAGTGCAGATACTGCTTTCGAAGTGCTTTTAAACCTTGAACGACATCAGAGATATGAGTAAATTGTCTTACTCTTACATGGTAGGATTATCATTACAGAACTCCTCTCTCTAATAGTTCTCTTTTCAGGTGGGATATGCTGACAGGTGACTTGGAGCTGTTAGATTCTTATGATGGGCACCTTGACGTTGTATATGGGACATTTGATCCTAGGTATCTTACTCGGTAATGATGTTAGACGTGACTAGTTCTGCCACTCTTCAACCAATATCTTATCCTTAATCTGTGCTTTGATTAACTTCACCTTGCAGTGCATTTGTTAATAGAAATAGCTTCTTTACATAATAAAGTCAATCTGCATTCTGTTTGTTGTTCATCATCGTGAGATAGTAATTTGTAACTTAAATGTACAGGTGGCATTCCAAGAGAGATTTTATCTTTTCTAGGCAATGGTTTCGCGGACAAGACGGAACATATAGTAAGACGATATAACTTTCAGCAGTATCAATATAGCTTCAGTTTGTGGTGTAGGGAGTAGAGCTTAACTATTTTGCCTTGGTATTTGGCTGATATCATTTGGTGCTGTTAATGCAGCAATTTTGCATTTCCCTGCTGTTCATAAGAAGAAGCCTCCAAGATCGGGATATCGACGTACAAAAATAAATCGTAAGAGATTTCATCTGCTTTATAAGAAACTGATAAGCTTGCTAACACAGATATGGATCACTTTCTGAGGTTTTATTAAACCCTACAAATTTTTGGATGAATTCCCTGTCTTCCAAGCACAGATTTGTACCCCTGAATTGTATTTTATTTCAATCTGATGATACTTGGTTTCATATATTCTCATTAATGAAGTTCAATTTCTGGTATTTGAAAGTCTGTTTCTTCATTTAGTTGTTCTTTTTTTATGTTTTTAATTTGTATTGCAGCATCGACTTGGGAGATTAGAAATTTGAACACATCCATGGGTTCAAATACTCCAAGATGTCTTGTCACTCAAATGTTGGAGATAAATTCCGCGGGCTGGTGCAGATGGAAGAAAAATCACTGCTCGAAGTTTGAAAAGAGTGTACCCTATGCATTGTTGTGCCAAGTAGGAGGTT